TTCTTAAATCCGATATACTTTACAGTTATTTAAAAAATATTTGCATTGAGAAATGCTATATATGAATGCCACACAAATTAAATTAATTAATTTTTACACAAACGAAATTGTATTATAAAAATATATCTCCTTTAAACTTGTGTCAATAAAGAGCAAGCAGTGCTTTAATGCTTAACAAATTACAATACATTCCATAAAAGAATTACAAAAATAGAAGATCCAAACGTTTCAGGTTTTATTAAGCTGATTAAATTATCAGTGGATTTAGAAATAATAACTTAAGATAGATTAAGAATGTATGTATCTCAAAACTTTTTAAAAATAAAAAAATTTTATTTTATTTTATTTATAGATTGTTTTATTATTACGTCTGACTATCTGTAAAATTTGAGTACAAGTCTCTCATTAATTTAAAAGTTTTTTAATTTCTTTCTTAGCCTTGATTCTTTTGTAAAATTGTGTTTTGTAATTATTTGAAAAATTGATGAATCGTAACATTACGAATTAAATAAAATTTTTATACTAATGAAACTAATAAATGTTCGAACAAAAATTTGAACATATATACTTAAAAATTATTTATTTAAAACTAGCGAAATATGGCCATTTGTTGTATAAATCCATTATAAGTCAAATTATTTGTTTTTGTGCAGTTAGTTTCAGGGCATATTTGTAATAAAAAATTTGTTGGATGTTATTAGCTGCTATTGAACCTCATATTGATCTTTTTAGCTGATTTTTGCTTTAGCTTATATACTGTACAACAAATATCTAGTATAGCCAAACATATAAATCAACGCAGTGATTGTCGCTCGCAGATAAAAACATGATGTAACAATACCAGGCGTAACATTACTCACGATGTTTTCACATTACTATTATTATTTCTATTATACTAAAAAATAATTTTACAAAAGCAAAAAGGATGTATGAACATATTTCATATAATTATACATGTTTATGAATTTATGCGTGTTTATATATGTTTATACATACTTATACTTATTCATGAATGACAAATTTTTTTTATCGGGATTCAGCTCAACAATTGCCCGCTGTTATTACTATATTCTTCTAGATCTAAAATTCTGATTGGATGAGCTAAAAGAATACACCACTAACAATGAGCGTTCACTCAACTGTGAGTTCGCTGAATACACCCATTGATTGCTCATCCTTGAAATTGATTTACGTGATTTTTTTACAGTTTTTTTTATATTATGGATAAAAATACATCGCCAAATCCAAATAAATGCAGAAATCAAGAATTAATAAAAAATGCTCGAAAATAAAAAGAGAATAAAAACTATCATGCGCCATAAGTAATGATAAGATAAAGGCAACATTGCAACTTGTTATTTGCAATATAGCAGAAGGAAAGAACTTAATTGATCAACAGTAAATATTAAATGTGTGGTCATCTCATTTATTTTCACAGATCTAATCTTCACACTTATCATCTCACTTATTTTTTTAGAGCTCTATTTTGGAAACTGCATTAAAAAAAATCGCTCTGTTAGAAAATCGAAGAAAGATCTCATTATGCGACGTCTTTTAGTCTATCTTGTATAGTTCTTACGAATAATTGAACACCGCGTAATAGCATATATAAAAGTTGATATATCATAATTTAATTTAATTTAATTTAATTTATTGCAAAACTTTATGAACAAGACTACATGTTAACAGAGCAATAGACATACATGAAATATAATACAATAGACTATAATTATAAACATAAATACAAAGACAATAATAGCTAGCAAATAGTTAGATATCAGTAAAATTGCTGTTACAAAGCCTACCAGTAATAAAACCAGAATAAGACAACAACGCAAAATGAGGTAAACCAATAACTGAAATCATACATGCACGCATACACTCACACACGTACACACACGCGCAAACACACCAATTTCATCACTCTCGTTTAAATACTGTGAGTGATACGATGAAATGTGAGGCAGCGGAACGAAAGGAGAACAGAAAGGGAGAGGTTTTTATTGAATCAGGAAGAGGGGGAGAGGGGGGGGGAATTAAAATATTTGACAGAGATGTAAGAGAAAGCGGCACGGAACTTAGCGGACCGATACATGGGGAAGGATAAATAATCTTGGTATCTAGTGACAAGAGGATTAAAAGAGGAATGATGTTCAGAATTTAACTGAAGGAAAGGAAGGTCGCAGATATAGAGCAGATATAGATGTTGGAGCGAAGGAGAAAAAATACAAAACAGCACAGATGGAGAATAAAACACATTGCCAAATCTTAAGCCAGTTAGATCTCTGGTACGAAGATATATGATTGTATTTACGGACGATAATAGGAGAAGCGGAGACAAGAACTTTGGATACGTTGTACACGATTTAACAGACGTTGGTTAAAAGCCGGAACGTAGACATTAGCGTAATCAATAAGAGTTCTTTTATCTCTGGTTTTGCGCATATTACGTATAATATATTTATTACATTTTATCCTCCTAAAAAGGATAAAATGATGCATCATGCGCTTTATGGAACGCAGCCTTGAAAGATATCTTACAGAACGATTTTTTAATATAATTTTCAAAAAGATTTAATAAGGTCTTTAAAAAAATCTTTAAAAAGTTATCTCAAAGAATTCTTCCTTACAATAATGCTCACTGAATGGGTGCCCGATGCTCCAACTGTCATATTTTTTAACTATTTTCATGTAAATAATATACGTATTTTAAAACGTTAAAAAGACGCGTAAAGATACAAAACGAAATATATCTTCTAGTATATTTTTCAAGTACATTTCTTACTGCAATTAGATTTACCTCTTTTCAAGTTTAATATTTTCAATTTAAAGTATTCTTATCATTTGGATTTCTATTCCTTTTATTTTATATTACTTTTTGCCCCTACTTCTTTTCAATTAACTGTACTATTATTGCTTTAGGAAAAAATACAATTCTTATTTTACATCAGTTTTATTCACATTATTTTATGACTTTTTGCCTTCTTTACTCGCTTAATCATTTGATTTTAATTATTTGATTAGACAATGTAATAACATATGTTGACATAAGTTAGTCAAGTGTTTCTTTCAAAACGAAAAATTAATTTGTATTAAAAAATATCGGAATTATAAAATTTTCAGGGCTTTTAAAATCTTATTTTCTTCTTTTGTCTATCTCAAGTTTTTCGAATTCGGATTAACGTGCGAAATAAAAATAGCCGAAACTTATCATTACAAAATTTCATAAATCATCTTACATTTTTACATTGCACAAGTTATGAGATAAAAAAATAAGTGATTTATTTGACAATTAAATGTGTGACGATGAAATGTGTTTTTTACATATATTTTTAATATTTTTTATTCATTACATGACTTCTTCACGCATATCTTTGATGTCTCACTATCAAACCGAGCACTTTTGAAATATTTTTATTTTTATTTTTTTAAATTTACTGTTATATTCTACAGATAAAAATATGAAATGTGTTGAGTGAAAAAAATATCAATTTTTTTATGAAGTGATTCACACTTGTAAGTTGCAGAAATTTACAAAAATGTCGCTCATGCGAACATTCAAATAATTATATACCATTGAAACCACTAGTTATACAAAAAAAATGCAAGAGATTTTGAAGATTTTGAAGATCTTAAATTGTTCTATGGATAAGTTATTTTTACTTCATCATTTTCGTATAAATAAATCATTTTCCATTTATTTACAATTTTTATTAACATTTTTCATCAATTAAACTCATCAATTAAAAAATTTTGTAAAAATATCATCATATTAGGCATATGTATGCGGAACCGCGTCATTAGACTTAAAGAATTTTTTTAACTATACAATCCATTCGAGTTCTATTTTGAAATTTTCAGGGTTATTTCATAAATTGAAATGAAAATATTTTTACAAAATTTTTAAATTGGTGAGTTGATGATGAAAAATGTTAATAAAAAAATGTAAAAAAATTCTGCTGTATGACAACGCATACATATGCTGAATATTTTTACAAAATTTTTGAATTGTTGAGTCTCAACTTATGTAGTTTTTCTATACTTTTTCGTAAAAATATTTCTGCCAGAGATATGAGTCAATACAAACATCATTCTATCTTTGCATTCCATGAGTAACGAAGACAGAACAATGCTTTGCTTGTATTTGTATCATCATATGGAAAACACTTTACGTAAAAATAAATTTTTAGTACAAAAATGAAAATAAGAGGTACAATCTCCAATGATCTTGATCTTGACAAATATTATTCAGGACATGATTCTGAACAACATTCAAAAGGTTTAGCCGTCGGTCAGACATCTTGCGTAATGCTAATTGCGATACTGTAACAGCTTTAACTCGAGAAGTAGGTACTTAACGAAAAAATATTTTATTATAGTATTGTGAAAAACTCTCGAGGTAAGCTATAAGAATATGAAAAATGGAAGTTCAAAAATAAAAAAAGTTATTTGGTGCGACATTAAAATGGGACATCTTGTATAGACTACGTTTACACGACTTGATTTATGCTAAAATTATAACATCGATGTTATGAAATTGCCCAATCATATTGTATTTATTTCTCTAAAGAATGAAATGACTGTAATTATTAAAATATACGTAATATATATATATATATGGTATAACTGAAATAACGCCCATTAATCATATAGTGTTATTTCTAATAAAAAATTAGGTTGAAAAGTACTCTATCATTTTGTAATTTTCGCAACTGTTAACGAGATATTAATTTTCAAATATTGAATAAAATCGATATACATATAAGACAATTTTAAGATATCTTTTCGTGTTCTTCGTGAAATATTTTAAAGATTTTTCTTAAAGAACTCTTAAAGATATCTTAAAGCTGTCTTATATACGTCAATTTTATACATTTTGCTCATTTTGCGTAACTAAAAAAAATATTGCAAAAATTGCAAAATGGTAGAGGACTTTTTGTCTCAGTTTTTTAATTAGAAATAGCACTATATGATTAGTGGCGT